TAAATTTTTATGAAAAGAATAAAAATTCACCCTCCTTACAGTGCCTATAGTAAGTGACAAGAGGTTCTAGAGACAAGGTATATTTACAACACCATACTTTTTAAAGTAATTAAATGAAAGAAAAATTTTTACTGTTTTTTTTTTTTTTGAGTTGGGGGAAATGAAAAAAATTAATGCTATCAAATAAACTTTTCAGTGTAAAAAGTTTCAGTTTCAAAACACACTCCACTTAAAACTATATATAACACCTTTAAACCAAGCTACAAACCCTACAATCCAGAGGCATGTATTTGTGATTAACACATATTTAACCACTCAATTTCCAAGCTTCTGTTTTAGCTAGAAATATAAGACCAAAGAGGGCAGGGAGGAAGAGGCACTGTGGATAGTTGAACTAATGACTTTAAGGGGAGCCAAGATCAGGGGAAAGGGGGCAGAAGATTCATAGCTTTCAAAAAGAGAGGGAAGCTGCCATTTACCCAGATATCTTTCACTGTTTCCTTATCTCCAGAGAGAAGCAGCTTTTTAGGAAACAATTTATTTTTTAATATTTTGTAGAGGAAACAAAACCATAGCTTGACACTTACATTTCATTTGCTTGAAGATGGACTTGTTAGGTTCAAGCCAGTGCTAGGGAGAAAAACAAAAACAAAAGAGATTGTTGATGTAAATGAAAACTCCTGAAACAAAGCTGTGTCAGCAGAAACTGAAATGACCAGAACTGCAGTAGTATGGAGGGACTGGAATATTAAATGTCCTGAGGCTAATTACCTTACAATGGGCTGGTTCTGATTCTCCAGAACAGCAATTCTTTGTGTCTAAACTAACATCTTGTGAGTAACAGAAACTTTTTGAATCTATTAATTAGTAGACAACTAACTTTCACCAATTTGAAAGCTAAGAATGCAATCATATAGCTAGTATCTTGGGCCTATAGAAAACTTGCCCCATCTTGCTGTACCTGCCTCTCTGGAGTAGCCACCAATGTATTTTTAAGGGGTTAATGACCTAAGAACCTGAGAAACTTTAACTGAGAAACTTTAGACAGGAAAGCTGACTTGACTGATAATATTTGTGGAAGTTTCTGTTGAGGAGATCAACAGTCCAACCTCCCAACCACACCTACAACTTTGAAACTGTATGGGAACTGACCTCCAGATGGAATAATCCATATTAAGCATTTTCCTATTAGTATAAACTGAGTTTGACCCAGAGATGTTAGGCTTTACTCCCCAAACCTTGGCCCAGGGCATTCTACGTGCTTGGACACAATTGGAGCTTCTAGCCTCTAAATATCCTCAGAAAGACAATAAAAAGCCAACAGTCAACACCTGCATATTCCATACCCTCAACTCCCTTGAACAAGCCTGCTCCAAAGATGCACTGAGGGCTCAATCTCTATTTCAGCCCCGTGGTTGTTTCCTTCATTGCTGTAATTAGACAGTCTTCTGCTTCTGTTGAGTTTTGAGTTGGTGTCTCATTTCTTCATGATCTTTCATGATTTCCTTGTTTTTAATTGCTGAGTAGTATTCCATTGTGTAAATGTAACACAATTTCTGTATCCATTCCTCAACTGAGGGGCATCTGGGCTGTTTCCAGCTTCTGGCTATTACAAATAAAGCTGCTACAAACATGGTTGAGCAGATGTCCTTCTTGTGTAATTGAGCATATTTTGGATATATGCCTAGGAGTGGTATAGCTGGATCTTGAGGAAGTGCTATTCCTAATTGTGTGAGAAAGCTCCAGATTGATTTCCAAAGTGGTTGTACAAGTGTACATTTCCACCAGCTTTGGAGGAGGGTTCCCCTTTCTCCACAGCCTCTCCAGCATGTGTTGCCACTTGAGTTATTCATCTTAGCCATTCTGATGGTTGTGAAGTGAAATCTCAGGGTCGTTTTGATTTGCATTTCTCTGATGACTAAGGATGTTGAACATTTCTTTAAGTGTTTCTCTGCCATTCGCAATTCCTCTATTGAGAATTCTCTGTTTAGACCTGTACCCCATGCTTCAGTAATATGTCATCACACTGCTGTCTTCTGTTCTGGATTTTTGCCATCTGTTGAGTTTTATTATTGTACTTCAGAGGCATTCTAACTGCTGTCCTTTCTATAATTCCCCCTTTATCAGTTAGAAGCAGTTAAGAGAGATCTATTGCCCTAAACCTCTAAAAGCATATCTGGTAATGTCATAAAAGAAGAGGCTATCTATCTCATCTCCTCTCCTTGCAATTCTGGTATGAAAAAACAAACAATCCTTTGGAGGGATACTTAAATCACACAGGGACACAATACCTATGATACTGCTAATTTAATTATTTGATTCTACATTCACAGTTGCTTCACCAAGTTCCTCCAACAAAGATTATGAGTTTTCACCATCCAGAAGGTCAAAAAGTTTTTCAGGCCAGGACTAGTACCCAACATAGTGATCTTCTCTATGGATCATTTCAAGCCTTTCACCCTTAATTTGATCTTTGTTCCTAATGGAATCAGCACTCAAAGAAAAACCTTATCCCCAAATGAAGATCAGCGTATAAAATTATAAAATCCCTGCCTTGAACACAGAGTATTTGTTCTAAAAAGCTATAGAATCCCCCTCTTCAGAGTTAGAATATATTGGAATAAATATGTATGTTGGAATAGTTTAACCCAAAATATTCAGCTTTGCTCCTTCAACACTGGTCAGGGGCATTGCACTTGCTCAGAACCTACTGGAATTCTGCACCCCTATATGTTCTCAGAAAAACTGAGGACAGCCCATACTCATACTTCCCTACCCTCAACTCCCTGACATAAGCCTGCCCAAAGTCACCCTAAGGGATCAAAAGAAAGATTGTTGTCCTTCATTGTTTCAATGAAAGGATAGTTTTCTTCTGTTGAGATTGGAATCTCCTTTCCTTCCCAGTTATCATAGTCTCTTCCCAATCTACAGCCTCTGTTTGACTCTATAATTCTCCAATCCCCCTGTTGCCACATGCACACATGCACAAGCAGATTTTGGCCATCCGTGAAGAAATAAGGGAAGATGCAGCCAAACAGTTTGCGGCCTTCAGAGAAGAAATAATTAAACCACTGTAAGAAATAAAAGAAACAGAGTTGAAGGAACTAAAAGAAAAAAAGGAAAGTACAATCAGACAGGTGAAGGAAGTAGACAAAACAACTCAAGACCTGAAGATAGAACTGGAAAAATTAAAGAAAACACAAATGGAAGAAATAATAGAGAGGAAGAATTTAGGGAAGAAAACAGGAACTATAGAGGTAAGCATAACCAACAGAATACAAGAGATGGAAGAAAGAATCTCAGGTGTAGAAGATACAATGGAAGAAATCAATGTATTTGTCAAAGAAAATGTTAAATCCAAAAAATTTCTGACACAGACCGTCCAAGAAATCCAAGACAATATGAAAAGACAAAAACTAAGAATAATAGGTATAGAGGAAAAAGAAGACTCCCTATTCCAAGGCCCAGAAAATATTTTCAACAAAATCATTGAAGAAACTTATGCCAAGTTAAAGGAGAGGCCAATAAGAATACATGGGGCCTACAGAACAACCAACAAATTTGACCAGAAAAGAAAATCCTCCCGCCACATAATAATCAAAACAGTAAGTATACAGAACAAAGAAAAAAATACTAAAAGCTGCAAAGGAAAAAGGCCAAGTAACATATAATGGCAAACCCATTAGAATCACACCTGACTTTTCAACAGAGACTATGAAAGCCAGAAGGGCCTTAAAGGATATCATGCAGACCCTAAGAGAACACAGATGTCAGCCCAGGGTACTATACCCTGCTAAACTCTCAGTCCTCATAGAAGGAGAAAACAAGATATTCAATGTCAAAAACAAATTTCAACAATACCTGCACACAATTCCAGCATTACAGAAGACACAGGAAGGAAAAATACAACCCAAGAAAATTAGCTTCTGTCAAGAAAACATGGGAAATAATTAACCTTACTACACTAAAACAAAAAGCAACCAAGCACACAACCTTATGACCATAGCCAACATCAAAACCAAAGGATCTAACAGCCACTGGTCATTAATCTCTCTCAACATCAATGGACTCAACTCTCCAGTAAAAAGACACAGATTAACAGAATGGATACGTAAACAAAACCCAGCAATCTGTTGCATACAAGAAACACACCTAAGGCACAAAGATAGACATTACCTGAGGGTAAAAGGTTGGAAGACGACTTTCCAAGCAAATGGACCCAAGAAACAAGCAGGAGTAGCCATTCTAATATCTGATAAAATAGACTTTCAACCAAAATTAATAAAAAGAGATGGGGAAGGACACTTCATACTCATCAAGGGAAAATTCCACCAGGAATGCATCACAATCCTGAACATCTATGCCCCAAATACAAGAGCACCCACATTTGTAAAAGAAACATTGATAAAATTTAAACCACATATAGATCCCCACACATTAATAGGAGGAGACTTCAACACCCCACTCTTAACAAAGGACAGGTCAACAAAACAGTAATTAAACAAAGAAACAAGGTCTCTAACAGGTCATGAATGAAATGGACCTAACAGACATTTACCGAACCTTACACCCAAACACAAAAGAATTTACCTTCTTCTCAGCACCTCATGGAACCTTCTTCAAAATAGACCATGTAGTTGGTCACAAAGCAAGCCTAAACAGATACAAGAAGATTGAAATGATCCCTTGTATCTTGTCTGATCACCATGGAATAAAGCTGGACCTCAACAACAACAGAAATAGTGAAAAGCCTACACACACATGGAAACTGAACAACTTTTTACTAAATGACAGCTGGGTCAGGGAAGAAATAAAGAAAGAAATTGAAGTCTTCCTAGAACTTAATGAAAATGAAGACACACCATACCCAAACTTGTGGGACACAATGAAGGCAGTGCTAAGAGGAAAGTTCATAGCACAAAGTGCCTTCAAGAAGAAATTCGAGACAGCACATTCAAGCAACTTAATGGCTCACTTAAAAACTCTAGAAAAAGAAGAAGCAGACACACCAAAAAGGAGTAGACGGCTGGAAATAATCAAACTCAGGGCTGAAATCAATCAAACAGAAACAAATAAAACAATTCAAAAATTCAATGAAATCAAGAGCTGGTTCTTTGAGAAAATCAACAAAACAGACAAACCCTTAGCCAAGCTAACTAAAAGGCAGAGAGATACCACCCAAATAAACAAAATCAGAAATGAAAAGGGGGACATAAATACAGACACTGAGGAAATCCAAACAATCATTAGGACTTACTTCAAAAGTCTATATGCCACAAAATTTGAAAATCTAAATGAAATGGACAATTTTCTTGATTGATTTGACTTACCAAAGCTGAATCAGGACCAGGTAAATCAATTAAATAGTCCTATATCCCCCAAAGAAATAGAAGAGGTCATCAAAACTCTCCCATTCAAAAAAAGCCCAGGACCAGATAGCTTCGGCACAGAATTCTACCAGAACTTCAAAGAAGAACTAACTCCAATTCTCTTCCAACTATTCCACAAAATAGAAACAGAAGGAACATTACCAAACTCATTCTATGAAGCCACAGTCATCTTGGTACCAAACCTCACAAAGACTCAACAAAGAAAGAGAATTTCAGGCCAATCTCCCTTATGAACATTGA